TGTAAGTATCAAATGTAATACAAAGACCGTAATACAAACTATTCAGACTCTGTACGGGCCCCTAATGGCAGACTGTAACCGAAAATGGCAGAAAATAGGCTTTTTTCTTGAATTGCTTGACATTTTATACGGTGAGGTTAGGTTTCCTAATTCTAAAAAAAATCATAGAAATTAGTTTTAGTACTTTATAAGAATATCTATTTGTTTTACATTAATTGCAGCCCTTAATGCACGTAGGTAGCATAAAAACGCCTATTTTTCGATTTTTTTCTAAGATTGAGATCTCAGAACCAAACAAGGTTATGTTTCCGAGAGCTAAAAGTGACTGTAAGTATCAAATCTGATACAAAGACAGTAATAAAAACCATTCAGACTCTGTACGGGCCCCTAATGGCTGACTATAACCGAAAATGGCTAAAAATAGGCTATTTTCTTGAATTGCTTGACATTTTACACGGTGAGGTTAGGTTTCCTGATTCTGAAAAAAATCATGGCAATTAGTTTTAGTGTCTTATAAGGATATCCGTACGTTTTACATTAATTGCAGCCCTTACTGGACGTAGGTAGCATAAGACCGTATCTTTTCCGACTTTTCAATAATTTCAGGAGTTTATTACGCTTTGAGGTTAGGTTTTGTAATCCTATAAAGTACCAAATTTATTTTTTACAACCATCGATTTGCAGAAATATTTATTTCAGATTTTTTTCACCATGTATTACTGAAAGTTGTAGTTCTTAAAGTTTGTTTTATATGTATGTTACTGTGATTGTTAATAATTGTGTTTAAACTGGTAAGAATTTGATTTTTTTTTTTTATGGTATTATACACCTATTGTCACTGGTTTATTGTGTTATTTACGACAAAACCAAAAAAACTTTTTTCAGATTTGCGTTGGGCTCCAACGTTTAAAACTTGAAACACATACTAAAAATACCGATAAGGAATTTCTGGTTCCCATAATATCACAAATACTTTATGAAATATAAATATATTGCGTTGGGAAGTATTGTCTTTAAACTGGTAAGATTTTGATTTTTTTTTTTTTTGGTATTATACACCTATTGTCACTGGTTCATTGTGTTATTTACGACAAAACCAAGAAAATTGTTTTCAGATTTTCGTTGGGCTCCAACGTTTAAAACTTTAAACACATACTAAAAATACCGATAAGGAATTTCTGGTTCCCATAATATCACAAATACTTTATGAAATATAAATATATTGCGTTGGGAAGTATAAATTTTATAACCTTGCAGGGTAATCTTCTTCATTTAGTTGCTGTACACAGGTGTAGTGATACGCATGTGAATGATTATCTTTCAGGATTCTTTGTACCTCCCAGTACGATAAATCTAAATCCCTGGCAATATTCCTAATACTGCAAGTTTGATCCTGCTCGATACATCGCAGGACACGCTCTTCATTCCGTACGTTTCGGACTCTCTGAGGAGCTCCAACGATCCGTCCACCATGATTACCACCACGAGCGGCTGCAGGCATAACATTGCCGTCTTCGTGCAAGCGGTTACAGGCCCGGTGCCCAGTGCCCAGTGCCCGAAAGTGCCCGCCAAGTGCCCGGCAGGTACCCGCCAAGTGCCCGGCAAGTGCCCGCCAAGTGCCCGGCAAGTACCCGCCAAGTGTTCAGTGCCCGGAAGTGCCCGGAAAGTACCCGCCAAGTGCCCAGTGCACGGTAAGTACCCGCCAAGTGCCCAGCAAGTAACCGGCAAGTGCCCGCCAAGTGCCCGGTAAGTACCCGCCAAGTGCCCGCCAAGTACCCGCCAAGTACCTACCAAGTAACTGGCAAGTGCCCGCCAAGTGCCCGGTAAGTACCCGCCAAGTGCCCGCCAAGTACCCGCCAAGTGCCCGCCAAGTTCTAAGTACCCGCCAAGTGCCCGGTAAGTAACCGGCAACTGCCCGCCAAGTGCCCAGCAAGTACCCGCCAAGTGCCCAGAAGTGCCCGGGAAGTACCCGCCAAGTGCTCAATGCCTGGAAGTGCCCAGCAAGTGCCCGGGAAGTACCCGCCAAGTGCCTGGTAAGTACCCGTCAAATGCCCGCCGAGTACCCGTCAAGTGCCCCGCAAGTACCCCCCAAGTGCCCGGAAGGTACCCGCCAAGTGCCCGCCAAGTGCCCAGTGCCCGGAAGTGCCCGCCATTACTTGCCAAGTGCCCGCCATGTAACCGCCAAGTACCCGCCAAGTGCCCAGTGCCCGGAAGTGCCCGCCAAGTAACCGTGAAGTGCCCGCCAAGTAACCGGCAAGTACCTGCCAAGTGCCCGCCAAGTACCCGCAAAGCGCCCAATGCCCGGAAGTGCCCGCCATTACTTGCCAAGTGCCCGCCATGTAACCGCCAAGTACCCGCCAAGTGCCCAGTAACNATGATGATGATGATGATGATGATGATGATGATGATGATGATGATGATGATGATGATGATGATGATGATGATGATGATGATGATGATGATGATGATGATGATGATGATGATGATGATGATGATGATGATGATGATGATGATGATGATGATGATGATGATGATGATGATGATGATGATGATGATGATGATGATGATGATGATGATGATGATGATGATGATGATGATGATGATGATGATGATGATGATGATGATGATGATGATGATGATGATGATGATGATGATGATGATGATGATGATGATGATGATGATGATGATGATGATGATGATGATGATGATGATGATGATGATGATGATGATGATGATGATGATGATGATGATGATGATGATGATGATGATGATGATGATGATGATGATGATGATGATGATGATGATGATGATGATGATGATGATGATGATGATGATGATGATGATGATGATGATGATGATGATGATGATGATGATGATGATGATGATGATGATGATGATGATGATGATGATGATGATGATGATGATGATGATGATGATGATGATGATGATGATGATGATGATGATGATGATGATGATGATGATGATGATGATGATGATGATGATGATGATGATGATGATGATGATGATGATGATGATGATGATGATGATGATGATGATGATGATGATGATGATGATGATGATGATGATGATGATGATGATGATGATGATGATGATGATGATGATGATGATGATGATGATGATGATGATGATGATGATGATGATGATGATGATGATGATGATGATGATGATGATGATGATGATGATGATGATGATGATGATGATGATGATGATGATGATGATGATGATGATGATGATGATGATGATGATGATGATGATGATGATGATGATGATGATGATGATGATGATGATGATGATGATGATGATGATGATGATGATGATGATGATGATGATGATGATGATGATGATGATGATGATGATGATGATGATGATGATGATGATGATGATGATGATGATGATGATGATGATGATGATGATGATGATGATGATGATGATGATGATGATGATGATGATGATGATGATGATGATGATGATGATGATGATGATGATGATGATGATGATGATGATGATGATGATGATGATGATGATGATGATGATGATGATGATGATGATGATGATGATGATGATGATGATGATGATGATGATGATGATGATGATGATGATGATGATGATGATGATGATGATGATGATGATGATGATGATGATGATGATGATGATGATGATGATGATGATGATGATGATGATGATGATGATGATGATGATGATGATGATGATGATGATGATGATGATGATGATGATGATGATGATGATGATGATGATGATGATGATGATGATGATGATGATGATGATGATGATGATGATGATGATGATGATGATGATGATGATGATGATGATGATGATGATGATGATGATGATGATGATGATGATGATGATGATGATGATGATGATGATGATGATGATGATGATGATGATGATGATGATGATGATGATGATGATGATGATGATGATGATGATGATGATGATGATGATGATGATGATGATGATGATGATGATGATGATGATGATGATGATGATGATGATGATGATGATGATGATGATGATGATGATGATGATGATGATGATGATGATGATGATGATGATGATGATGATGATGATGATGATGATGATGATGATGATGATGATGATGATGATGATGATGATGATGATGATGATGATGATGATG